TCCTCTCTTTTTTTTTGTTTTCTTTCGTTTGCACTTCTGTTTTCTTCATTTGGACGTTCTATTTTGTCTCAATATCAATGCATGTTCTTCATCGTATTTAGGATGGCCTCTAGCCACGTTGGTTCCAAGAGACATGGGTTTGTTTTACCCCTGCAGGCTCCATTGCCGACAGGGCTTGTGTCTGTTTCAAAAATGAAAAAAAGAGAGCAAGCAATACTATAAAAGGATGGCTAGTCCAGTTGGAACTGACGGCTGATTCTTGACTTTGGCAGGAACTGTTCGGCGGTTTATGGAAAAGCACAAACAGAAGCTTTTGGCTGTTGTTTTCTGCACGGTGTCATCGTTCGATGCAGAAATCTACAGAAGGTGAGCTTCCCAGTTTGTTTGTTTTTTTTGGGTTTTCTATTCTGAAGCGGTTTTCACCTTTGCAGTAGCGGATGCAGATCCCAGGGCTCGATCCCTAGACCTCGCTCCCCTGTGTACAGTAACCCTGTGTGTTTGAACCCGTAACCTGTGTCGTAGGAGTCAGTTGTTGTCTGTCGTGGGCCAGTGTGTCTGTCGGGTCTTGAACCGTAGGTCTGCCGCGTAGGGGTCAAGTTTGTAGCAGAGGTCGTAGCTCTAGTGTTTCTGAAAGGTGAAGGTCGTAGCTGCTACAGTGTCGAAGGGCCAAGTGCCCTTCAAACGTTGCTCACAGCAGACTAGAGGCAAGCGGGCAAGTGGTGATTCCACCCATGCTGAGTCAGCGGTACCCAGTTCCAGTCTCACTTAGTCCAGTCAGCAAGTACCATGTGGGACTGTGTGCACCATGGGCCCGGTGGAAAGAGGCAGACCAGTGACTTCCAGAAGTATAAATCAAGAGGCAGCGTCCAGCCATTCATTCATTGCTGCGTAAACCATGCGGAAGCGCTGCCCCAGCGACTTTTGCGAGGTGGTCTGCAGTCGCCCGAAGTGGAAGTGGGCCGTGAGGAGGACAATGTGCCATAGTTAGTAGTAGCCGGCTGCCACGGCGGCCATAGATGGTGTTAGTAGTAGTATGTGTGTGAGTGTGTATGCGTGTGGGATATCCAGGGTGATCTAGAGTTGAGTGAGTGCGAACAGTGGTGTTGGACAGAGAGACGAGAGTTGGGATGTACAGGCGCTGATGCGCCATAGCCTGTTGAAGCCAGTTTGTATCTGAACTGTGTTTTCGACTTCCATATCTTTGAGCTTTGAGTGGGCGCTGTGCGCCAGTGTGATTCACCATCTGTTTGCAAGAGTGCGAAGTGGAAAAGAAAGCGAGGCTGATTGCATTGGTATCGGGGCTAGTACCCGCTATCTCACGTGCCGTCGTCGTCCGCGGTATGCTGAAGTTGGGCGCCATAGCCGAAGTGCGCCATAGCTGAAGTCGCCATCGCCAAAGAAGAGTCCGCTATAGTTGCGCTGGTGGAGGAAGGTGTCGCATACCTGCAAAGAAGACAACGACGAAGAGAGAGAGAGAGAGAGAGAGAGAGAGAGAGAGAGAGAGAGAGAGAGAGAGAGAGAGAGAGAGAGAGAGGAGCGATACAAGTTTGGTTGTGCAGTCCAAGAAAGAAGGCGGCCATAGCCGTGGAGCTCGGACACGGAGTAGAAGAAAGAGGATGAGTAGAGGAGGAAAGAAGACGAACGAGAGAGGAAGGAGGGACTACGAAGAGAAAGGAAGACATAGTCAGGGTGAGGAGAGAAAGAAGTAAGGAAGAAGAAAGGAAGGGGAAGGAGAAGCGAGGGTGCGAGGGAGAGGAGGAGTCGACAGCCATAGCTGAGTTGAAGGTTGACCAAGGTGTTGACCAAGGGATTGACCGAAGTTGGTTTGGGCGTTGACTCGGGCGTTGACCAAGACGTTGACCAAGGTTGACTGGAGCATTGATCGAGGGTTTGAACAACGTTGACCAGCGTTGACCAAGCGTTGACCGAGATGTTGACCAAGACATTGACCGGGGTTGTTGACTACGATTCTGACCAAGCTGGAGTTGGTATATTCTCGCCAAACCCTCAGCCTATCCCCTTGCACTCACCCTATGGTACTTGCTGAGTCTGTTTGTCTCTTCTTTCTGAATTAAGTCTCTTTTGTCCTGGTGGTAGGAACTCCGTGTATGAAGGATAGAGCCTTGTTGACCAAACCCACACAAGCTGAGTAGGGCTAAAGGCCGTGTCTAACGACTCGACTGACCCGGAGGACACGAACCCTCCCAAGGACCGGTATGGACTGGCGGGCTGCTCGGTGTGGCACTGTAGGCCCAAAATCCGAGTCATGGGCTGCACAACGGACTGTCTAAGTCTTGAGAGGACTTGCTGATCGCATCGTCCTGTCTGCGACGTTAAATAATTCCTGAGGAGTTACGGGGGATCTCCTTAAATGCCTCCTGATTAGCAATAAGTCCTGTAGTGACAGCCTTAGAGTAGGTTTAGGTTAGAGACCCTAGTTGACAGGATCCTACCTGGATTCTGTGGTCCTTAGCTTGAGTCCTAGGTCTAGTCAGTCAGGTGCCGAGGTCTGAGTGGTGAGGTCTGGAACTGTTTGTCCGGTTCTGCACTTATCACCATGGTTGACCTTCGCAGTGGCAAGGCTCAAGAGGAGCAAACCGCTGCCATCCTAAAGGAGAGAAAGGAGAAGAAGGACCTCATTAGATAGGCGAAGGTGAAGATGATAGGAGAGGTGAAGGCGGCAAAGAAAAATAAGCTAGAGGAGGAGATGAAGAGATTGCAGCAAGAGGAGGAAGAGAGAATGAAGGTTGCAGTAGAGGAAGAGATTGAAGAGGAGCAGCCGGAAGAAGAGCCCCTCATAAGAAGAAGCATGGGGGAAAGAGAAGAGGGCAGTGGCACGAAGGAAGATGGCCCATCGAAGCGACGAGTGATCCCCTGGAGCGCCAGGCAATAGAAAACGAGAAGAAGTTGGACTGGAAGTTGCGCGTGGCGAGGGAGAAGAAGAGGAGGATGGAAGAGGCCAACCTGGTGCCTAGAGAAGTGGAAAGTTTACAGACTTGTAGACAGGAAGTAGAGGCCTAGCCTGATATTCAAGCCAAGTTGGACAAGATCATTGGGAGCATCGAGCTCTTAGGTAGGGCCTGGACTGAGCACCACTAGTTTGTTAGGGGCCAAAACATGGCCCTCCACTCCATCCGGTCCGGTTTCAGAGAATTCGCGCGAGACGTGATGACACATGTAGGGACCGAGGTTAGAAAGTTAAAGGAGGGTGCAAATAAATTTTGCGCAGGCGCCATCGAGGGCTCCAAAGTAGCGGCCACTGCAAAGATTGAAGTGCGCCCCCGCAAAGAGTCCGTTAAGCTTAAGTTTCTTGATTCTTATGGCGGGAAGAAGGACGAGAACTTTGACAATTGGGAGGCCAGTATACCTGTATCTCCAGCACATTGTGCCTGAGGAATAAGTCCTAGTAGCCTTCCATGCTTTAAAGGACGAAGCGGCTAGTTTTGCCAAGTCCCTCGCGCGAGCAGCCAATTGTGAAAACAATATGGTTGCGTATTGTAAACTCACCCCTCTTCACAAATTCCTTAAACTCCTTAGAGAGAGATTCTTTGATGTCATGCAAGGCGTCAGGGCCTCTGATAAATTGCAAACGATCCACTCACGACAGTGGCAGAGTGCAAGGGCACTCAAAGCAGTCATGGATGATTTAGTAGCCATCCCAGACCACGGGGTTACTGAGACCCAGTTAGTGAATTTATTTTAGCGTGCCATGCCAGAGCCCTTACGAGGGCATTTCTTTGAGAAGACCCAACAGGCCACCACCACTTACGGCGCGTTAAGTAGAGAGGTGGTCCTATTTGAGGCCACATCCATGCCAGTGTCCACTTTCTGGCATAAGGATTTAGATAAGGGAAAAAAGTGGAAGGGACGTACCAAGATAGAGTGGGGGCTTGAGGAGGACCTACGCTGCGGTTGCGGCTGGAAGGAGGCCGCAAAGTAGAGGAGGAGGCCAGGGCCAAGGGGGTCAGGCCATGGGTGGTCGAGATCCGGGCGCACAGGGGGGTGGCGGCCAAAGGAACCGCCAAGAGGGAGGTAGGGGTCAAGGTCCCCCGCCGAATCGTTCGGGGCCTAGTCAATCACCACAGCGTAGCGAGGGAGGATCACCTCAACGGAGAGGAGGTTGGCACCCAGGTTGGCCATAGGGTCGGCCTTGGGAAGATATGGGCTTGGACCAGAGAGTGTGGGAGCAGCGAATGGAGCAGGGGCAGTGCATCTATTGCGGTGACCCTGCCCATATTATGAAATGTTGTCCAAAGTATAGAGAAGGCCGATTTGCTGCCCGGGGTTCAAAAGGCAGCCGCTGGTAGGGGTTGCAACTGCCCTTACCATTAGGCCATGTGGGGAAGAGTGCGCGCACGACCAGGAAACTCCCACACCACATGAGCCTATGGCAGAGGTTGCGGGCCAGTGCCTAGTTAGCTGCCCAGAGACTGCCTGTGTTAGAGTCTCTCTAGGCACCTCCCTCACAGCCAGAAGAATTGAAGGAGAGGATGCCGGCCTGGGCCAAGATGAAGAAGGAGAGAAGGACAGCTTGTGTTAGCAAACTTAGAAGTTTTTAGAAGTAGAGTAGGGTCCCTTATAGACACAGGGGCTACCCATAGCTATATTAGCCGAAAAGAGCTAAAGAAGTTGAGGCTAGGTCTTAAAGTCCAGAAGTTGGAAGACCCCATAGTTAGTATCCTCGCATACTACCGCACGATGCGTGTTGAGGATTACGTCGAGGGAGTCCAAGCGTATCTTCGCCTAGAGAAAGATAGCAAGGTGGAGAAAGTCCTCCATTCCCCGACTCTCCTTGCAGAGGACACCCTCCCTTTTGATATAGTCCTAGGTATGGATTGGGGAGAGGCAGTCGGGGCCACACTCCATTTGAGAGAGCATGAGTGTAGGCTCCTTTGTCCATCAGGCGAAATTAAGACTGCTCGCCTGTTTCATGTGTCAGGAGTAGATAACTCCCTGGAAGATTGTTGTCTCAGTGCTCCCGCGTTCGCGCGACTAGTAAGGAAGGAGCCGAGCTTACTGAAGAGAAGCCAATAGACATAGTTATTGCCAAGCTGCTGGACGAGGTCAAAGATTTGGCAGAGCCGCCAACAGGAGTAGTACTGCGGCCAATCCAGCATTGAATCGAAATCGAGCCTGGCAGTAGAACTCCTAAGGGTGCAGTTTACAGGATGTCCCCAAGGGAGTTAGAGGAGTTGCATAAGCAACTAGACGAACTCTTCGAAAAGGGTTGGATTAGGCCCAGTTTGTCTCCTTTCGGAGCACCAGTTTTGTTTGTCCCCAGAAAGGAGGGAGAGTTGTGTGTGTGCATCAATTATAGGGGTCTGAATGCAATTACAGTAAAGAATGTTGAGCCGCTGCCCAAGATA